TGTTCGTTTATGTTCATTTAGGCATGTTCGTTTATGTTCGTTAAGACTGTTCGTTTATGTTCGTTAAGACTATTCGTTTATGTTCATTTAGGCATGTTCGTTTATGTTCGTTAAGACTGTTCGTTTATGTTCGTTCATTTACGTTCGTTTAACTTGTTAACGAACGAACATAAACGAACACGAACACATCGTATTTCTAAACGAACGAACACGAACACAATTATTTTCGTTCGTTTACCGTTCGTGTTCGTTCGTTTAAGTTAAACAAACGAACACGAACAAGCCTCCGTTCGTGTTCGTTCGGTTCGTTTACAGCCCTATTTAAAAGTAAAAGGCTTAATCTCAGTAACGGAATTATAAAGGTGTAATGGGTTTTGATTTATGATTCTAACGACGAGGAAAAAGAGAGAAGAAGATGATTCGATTACGGTGGTTGGAACTATCAGGATTAGTGAAACAACTCGAAGGGATCAAGCAAGGAGAGACCCTTTACGGTTCTGATTTTATGGTATTCATCTGATTTTGATTTAGAATACATGGAATTTGTATTTTGAAACTTTTTGAATGAATTTGCGCATATTCGTTATCCATGTTCATAGTGTTGGGAATTGAATTCATATTTATATAAATCTGTAGGGTCGTTTCAATTTTTTTTGGAAGTGCTGTTATACTTGTACCAAAACTATAAATCGATTGGAAACACAGTATAAAAGTTATTACCTTACATTATATTAAAACAAAAATAGAATAGGCCATAAAGTATTTAGAATCTATACCTTTCAGATATGGAGATGGGTTTAACAGCCAAGACGAGATTGCTCTACTGGTGACTTCTAAGAACGTATTGACTCAACCGTTGGGAGCCTCACTGCTATGCGATCTTGATATACATGTCATTTTAAGAAAAAGTGTCATGCTAACGTCTAGTGAGACCAAACAGTTAATGAATAAAGCTATAAAAGGTTTAAAATGGAAATATAGCTTTAATCAAGACATTTTATGTATTCAAATCATAATTACCCCTTAAAAGGGTGTAAAACCTCAAAACATGACGGTGAAGACCCGATTTACCACTGATAGTGACAGAACACATAAGTAAGCCATATTTCAATGTTATATAAGCTGTCACTTATGGATAACCAAGTTAGCAAGCTCAACTCTTCGAGTCTTTTGCTTGTGGAGTCACCAAGTTCAACTCCTCGAGTCTTTACCTTGAGATCTCCATAATCCAAGGTAAGCTAATTCACTTAGAAATTACACTATGTTGATCATTGGTGACTCTAATAGTCCACACCTTATCGCTTATTAAGACCCAATGCATATTTCAAGTTACAAATAAGGAATATCATCCCGAACATATTAAATAAACCGACTTTTATTTTTTATTTTTTTATTAACCTGGATATCCAACCTGCTATGCAAGTCGACTAATCCCAGGACGAGCACCTGTTTTGCAGATAGCCTGGAGTCACCGCATTTAAACCTCCGTGGCCACAATGAGGTTTTTATTTCTCCTTGGATTTGAACATGGGACCTCCAAGTACTTTTGGCCTTTGGAGCCAAGCTCAAACAAATCAGACCCCACCATTATGGTTAATAAACCGACTTTTATGCCTATGGATCCAATGCATTCTAGTCCTATATCCATAACTTCTTGGCCATATCAAAACATGCCCAACATATAACATTTTGTTTACAAAAAGTCCTCAAGTTAGTAAAATTCTCATTTGACCATATGCGCTCCGGCCAACACTAATGCATTTACTCTATCGAACCTCGGGTTTTGGATGCATACAAGAGATGAATCCCGACACATATATTCGATTTTCGTTTTAATTTTAACCGATTTATTTGTTTTAATATGTCAAAGTGGCTTTAATACCATTGTAGAGTTTTAATGCAATTTGTAACCATTTAAAACGCGGTGGAAAAATTATTTTAGGTTACAATTATTAGAAAAAATTTCTAAAACTTAAAACTCAAGCCAGATCTAATGACAATTTAAACAAAATAAAGCATGCGATGCAGGTTTCCTATACTGGTGATCCACACACAAACATGCTTGTGCCTCCACCGGATATTAGCCCAAAACCCCTAGTTTCCTTTTTGTATTTTATCTGATGACTAAATCTAAAAGATTCAATCACTTGTAATTGATTTAACCTCACTTTATTTATATGGTCTGAATTAGAGATGGCCAAAAATCGGTCCCGGGCCGGGCCTTAACCGGTTACGGCCGGTCCTAATCGCAACAAAAACCGCCCATAACCGGTCCCTCTATAACCGGTCCCGGTTCCGGTCCCGATGAAAAACTCTATAACCGGTCAAGCTTTCCCATAACCGGTTAAGCCGGCCGGTCCCGGTTCCGGTTCCATAACCGGTTACGGTTTTTATTTTTTTGGTAATTAATAAATTTATAATATGTTATTAATATCTTTGAAATATGTTATTTTTAATATGTTTTATTATAAATACGTTTTGTTATATATTATATATATATACGTTTAATTTTATAAATACGTTTTGTTATATACGTTTTGTTATATACATTTAAGAATACACTTTAAAAATACGGTTTAATTTTATAAATACGTTTTGTTATATACGTTTAATTTTATAAATACGTTTTGTTATATACATTTAAGAATACACTTTATAGTTTATAAATACGTTTTGACTTTTTGCGTTGACCGGGCCGGGCCGGGCCGGGCCCATAACCGGTTTCGTAACCGGTTCCGGTCCAAGATTTTCTAAAAAACAATAACCGGTTCGTAACCGCCGGTCCATAACCGGTTACCACCGGTCCCGGTCGGTTACGGTCTTGAGCCGGGCTCGGTTCCGGGCCTCTGTCAGTTACGGGCCGGGCCGGTTACGTTTGGCCATCTCTAGTCTGAATTATAGATAAGACTATAATTCAAAATAAGGATTTATAATCATATGTAATATTTATATATTATCTTAAACTTTAACATAATTATATACATTTAAAGATAACATTTTGTAATTATCATAATTACACTTCAACACATATTTTATAATTATCCTCCAAGTATAACTAATTTACAATGAATAAAATTTAATTCGTGTTTCATAAAATAAAGGCAAACGTGTTCTTTGTGCGTGACGCTATAAATTTATATACTCATTGGCAGTGTTCTTGTGTGGTACATGTCGTGGACATATACTAACTTAGATGAACAATTTCCGAATAATTAGATTTATGTCAAGATCGTTTTTTTTGTATGGGTAAATAATCGTTTACATCACCTTACTTTGTATGGGTAAATAATCGTTTACATCACCTTACTAGCTGTTTAATGCTTAAAATATATGTTTTTATGATGACCATAAATGGTGTCAGCATAAACTTAGGGGCCGTTTACTAAATACTTACCCGGTAAGTGTTGATCGGATAACTTTCCTCACCTGATACACACGACAAGGGCTGAAAATCTTACCCAGTAAGAGCGATGATAAAGATAGTCTTACCCGGTAGGTGATGATGAGGACTCTTACCCGGGTAAGCATTTACCGGGTAATTTGTTGCATACGATACCGTTTCAATATACTACAATCTTATCTATTAAAATAGATTATAGTGTTGAAAGCCGAGCACCATAATGGTACCATGATACCAACTTATTTTAAATGTATTGAAAATATTAAATATCGTAATTTCAACTATTTTGTTTAAATATTTAAATGTTTGGAAGCTTTATCATTTCATTTAAAAAACGTTAAACATCACGTGTCACCCAAAAAATGTCGTTCAAAATTTGAACAGAAAAGCAATTTTCATATATAAACTTGAAGTTGATACATAATCACTGCCAACATATACCTGCCTAAAAAGGTTAATATCAGTTAAGTTGGTACCAAGTACAGACGGTTGATCCATGACATAGGATTGTACGTACCTATTGTAATTGATTGGTACATGACTTTGGGAGCAAACTCTCGACACCATATCAAGTCCACCCCTATTCAAAATGCGATCATTTAGTAGTCTACAGTGTCACTAATCACAGGACCGCTATTTGACCAGCGTCATTTACCCCATGACCACTAACCGCTATGCACCGTATGGCGGAGCGATTAACAACGTAACTGGCAACAACAAAGTAGTGAGCCAGAATTTGACATATGATGATATCTACGGAGTTGCGTTATGATTACATTTATGATGAGAGTTGAGTAATACATTAGTGTCCACAATCTAACCTAACAAAAACACATAATCTACATGTATCTGTGTGTTAGAGAACTCGATACTCGAGATTCAAATCACAAATAACGCAAGGCCGCCTTTCACCGTTTTCCTTGGAACGAATCTATTGTGTGTGTGTATTGTACATCATGGTATTCCATGTGAACCCTCCTGCAATTTAAAATTTGAGGCACCAAAATGAAGGTTTTAGAAGTACGTAACATAGAATAGGAATCTGACCAAAATGTTATATTTTCATGCAATTTGCCCTCTAGATACTGACAAATAACGAAACATTCACTACCACAAATCGGCTTTACAGAACGCCTAAAACATCCAAGTGTACTAATAAAATACTTTATAGGACTTAAGTTCATAGAACCAAACTAAAAAGCGTCATATCTAGAAGTGTTACTATAGGTGTATAAGACACTTTTAGACGTTCTACCAAGTTTTTAAACAGAAAGTGTCATATTAGCTATTTTAGATGACATTAATTTGAAAAAGTGTCCTATAAACACAAGTGTCCTATAACTAGATAGGTTTATAGGACACTTCTCAAAACTATGCTATACAAATAGCTAATACGACACTTTATTTTAGAAGTATCCTAAAAAAATTGTTAAAACGCCCCAAAATGTTCTATAAACCTATTGTAACACTTTTAGATAAGATGCTTTATAGTTTGGTCTTATAAACGTAAGTTCTATAAAGTATTCTATTAGGAGACTTGTACAATCTAGACGCCATATAAAGCAAATTTTCTTGTAGTGTATTGCTACAAGTACTGATTCAAAAAGGTGGAAGGACAATAAGATTGGAATTCACATAAGTGGTTACTATATAATTTTAATGTGTCACATTAGTTCAATTGGAAAGGAGCATTCATGAAACTTCCAGGGTCAAAAGGTTATCAGATTTCAATGTTTTTTCATACAACCTTCAGTGAACTGGTTTGCGACACAAGCCCTAAACAGGGTTAGGGTTTGTGCAGTAATGCAACCCCTGAGTCAACCCACACCGGCCCACCCCAGGTACTACATCGACCCGCTAGGTGGCTAGCTAAAGAGTCCTGTGCCTAGAAGGACCCTGATTGCCAATAGAACTGCAACTCCCACAATGCAGCTGCCAGACTCAAACTCTCTCTTGTTTGTGCAAGTAAACCACCCGGAGCCAAAAACCAAACGAAACCAAAACCCAATATGATCCACCAGGAGGTGGGATCGCTTTTTTCTTTTTTGGAGGGGGGGGGGGGGGATGTACCAGACCTAACATCTACCCCAAAGTGTAGAGTGGCTATTTCCATGAAGACCCCCCATTAATGTTCATTTGGGGGCTTAAACAATGAGAAAATCCTTGAGCAGTTCTGGAAGGAAAGAACATAATGCTGATAAAAACATACCTCAATATAGTTGTCATCATCGATTGTTGACGAGAATGCATATCATCACATCCCAGAAGCTTTTGATTTTAGGTTTCGGGAGATGGTAGCTCTGCGAAGTTGAGGATTTTCTATGGAATACACGAGAAGGCTCCCATCCTTGGTCCCAGCTAAGATACATTCCTCTTGGGTTACGGTCAGCGAAGTTATAATCTTCCCAGCACCACTAAACCTTCCCACAATCTCAAGTGACTTCATAGACCGAACAACAATCTGTCCTTGATCTCCTGCACAAACCAAGAACTCACCACAGCTACTCAGCTCAACACAGTTTAAACGGCCATTGGATTCCGCAGAGGTAAGGTGTTTTCCGTTGATAGAATAAAGGTGCAAACTGAGATCATCATCAGAATAAAGTACGATTCTTCCATGTCGAGATGCAACCAGTTTTGACAACGGGCATCCAGATGGATGTTGAAGTGATCGTAGATATCTTCCTTTGCGTAAGGTATGGAAAACACAAGTCCCATCTTTCGATCCGCTAATAACCACATCAAGCTCTACACTTGCATACAAGCATGTGATTACATCATCATGTCCGCATAATATGTGAAAAGGAGTATCGGCAATGACACAGTCTTTACGGTGAAAGTCTGGGAGTACGTGGCGTAGTCTCTTTTCCGGGGCTCTCACACGCAAAACCTCCCAAACCATAACTGTCGTATCATAACTACCAGTAGCAAGGATGCTGCCATCTGATGTAACTGTAGAATTGTTTAACTATGATGAGATCAAGAAAGAAAAAAGTGCATGATAATTTAAAGGTGTTTTCTAATGACATTCCATATTTCACAAGTTGTTCTTATGTTTAGATACTTCATGCTAAGTTGCTTCGAAGGACACTTCAAGTCTTTATATGCCCATGACACGTGTCACACAAAAACACTATCAATGAGTATGTAAACCTATAGGGTCGCACACAAAGACACGTACGCTTCTATTATTAGATTCATGTTGATTGTTAAATTGATTATTTTTTGAAGAATAATCATAAATACGTGTTGAAAACGTAATTATGATAATTACAGGTTTTTATATGTAAATATAGATATTTATCTTTAAATAAATATATTTACGGATAATTACAAAGCCTTGCTTGAGTTATAGTTTATCTATGATTCAAACTACCTACAAATAAGGTGATGAGCCTAAACCTTTTGATGATTCAAGTTTTTAGGTCATTAGCTATCAGATAAAAACATAAAAAAAATCCTAGCTTTCGTTTATGTTAAAATTTAAGGATTTTTGAGCTAGCACCCGGTAGAAGTGAACAGCATGTGTGTGTGTGGATCTACGTAGAGGATATCTACATTGATTTCTAAGTGCTTCCCCAGAATCCACATCCAATCTCAAAGATAACCTTCTAAACACCCTATGGTTTGTTTAGATTCATTTTAAATTGTCATCGGATCCGGCTTAGGGTTTCTTTTCGAAGAAGTTATTAAATAAAGTAATCTAAAATTTTTTTCCACTTCGTTTTTAAGATCACGAAATCTGAAACCCTACAGATACTTCAATACAAATATCTGAAACTGAGTTTACTTGGGAAAGTTACGTACCAGAAACGCAGCTAACCACATCTTTATGCTGTCGGACACTCTGAACCAATCGTCCATCATTCAGGGCTATGAGCTGAAAGCTATTTTCCCAGTTGCCACATGAAACCAGAAAATTTCCAGATGGAGTCTGCATTGTGGTAAAGCATTGTGCTCCAAGTTCAATGTTTTCAGCCATAGGACTACCAATTCTGCGAGGAGAAAGCACATCGGCACCAATGGCAAAGTACGGATCCTGCAAAAAATATGATGAATAACAACATTATCGTGATTTGCAGTATGCCAAAAGCAAGTAATCCTGATAGAGGACCAATTATCAAACCTGTGAGCTAGAAAATGTGAAGTTCCCACCAGATTGCAATTGGGTTGTCAACCATAACTTAACTGACATGGTGAGTCCCTGATTCACAAGGACAACATTTGTATCGGATATACCGACATACAACACAGCTGAAGGTAGCATACTTGTACTAGAAACTATTGAAGTCAAAGTAATAGAAGAAGGAGCAAATCGTAAAGGATGGGCTATTGGAATTGGTGGCCCTCGCCTGGGGTGTTTCTTCCGGAATATTTGTATCGGCGTCTGACCAAAATTAGCAATCTGGTCTTCGATGGCTGACCTTTGCAATTCATCTTCCATTGTTTCTAAATCAACAGCTCCTTCATAAGTTAAATAATAGAAGATATTTGCTGCCTGTATCAAAAAGGTTTCCACAAGATAATGGAAAGGTCAGCAAGTTAAAACATGAACCAAACTCATATTGGATTGCTCAAATAATGTTAAAGAACTTAGTGTTGTAACCTCCACTGCTGGTTTCCCACGTTGTTTGTAGCCAAACACCAAATCAATCCAGAGGTGAAGATTTGAACTAACATATTCACTTTCTAGGGCTTCTCGGTTTATACTTATGAATTCTTCAGGGGAACCCTGGACCAAAAAATTAAAATAAACTGAGAACTGGTTTGTCGTGATCTTATATAAACCAGTCATTAGACCAGATCAGAGTAAAAAGGTTATTATACTAATTGCAGTCATTAAAATATGGGAGTGATATAGACTCGGACTGCAAATGCAACATCACTTTCAAAGAAAATAATATCAGTTATCATATCATAATCAATTATTTCACACATGGTAAATATTATTGATTTATTATCCAAATAGATATGATTATGAATAGAACACGACAACCTACCCAATCATGGGTTCAAATCCATAAGAATGCTCTGTATCCACTTGACTAGGAACAACTAAGCATTTTTAATTGAAATCCTAGGGATTTTACATCGACCTCCCAAATCTACCTAACAAGAAGTATAAACAAATATTATAAGCTATGGTTATCACCACATAAAACTACACTGGTGGTCATGCCAGGTATTATACAGAAGGGGCAAAAATCATAATAAAAACTTTTCTTCCACCACATAAATTATAATCCTAACTCCAAAGTGAAAAAATATATAATAATTATAAAAGTAGGGTTGGGTTCCGGTGAGAATGGAAGTTATGGTAAGGAGTGTAACAAGGGATCTCCATCCTTGGATCAATTCTAATTGAAGATCAACAGTAATGCGGTGCACCGAGATGCACCAGATCAATTCCCGTTATAAGGGCAATTCATGGGTGGAGGTGAGATTAAAAGTGATCAAGGGTCGTGTTCCCTTCTTATGCTATAACTTCCATTCTCACACGATCCTTTGTCTATAAAAGTAACAGTCTAACAATCTAGTATATAGAGCAATTACTTGGTAGTTTTGTATTTTTCTTTAAGCTACCCAGGAGAGAGTGGCAGTTGTAGGAAAAAGAAGAAAATGTATACGAAGCCAGCACACACGAGGACATGTTAAACGTGAAACATCCTACCATAACAATTTTCCTTTATTAAAAATTTGACAAATCACCTTAAAATATACTAGTACTACTATTTTAACTTTCTTGAGAACTTATGGTGGAGAAGCCAAGCACATGGGTAAGATAACCGTCTTAACCGGTGCATTCCTTCATACATCATGAGGATCGTGACATTAGAGCAAGACGAAATTATCTGAGAATATATATTATGATCAATATCCAGTAGTAAGATCAATGTCGATATTTATCCAATCAATGGTAGGAAAATCGTTGGTATTTACCTTCTCATTTGTTCATATAATCCGAAGGACAAGAAGCATTTTGTAGTTGATAGCATCTATGTTTATTGTTATTCTTATTATACATATGCTGAAACCCCCAAAAATAAGATGGCATGCATTTAAAAACTTGATGACTTTTATCTTTGATCGTCTGTGAGAATCACCCTTTGACAAATCTCATGACAAGGGTTTAATTAATCACAGGCATACATACTGTTCAAATGTTTTGCTATATTAGGAAACAATTACACCTAAAAAAATTCTGTATGACTCATCATATTGAGATGACTGTATCCCTCCCACTCCAGGTCATTCTTTTGAACAACCCAGAGTATAGGATCCTTCTAAATGGTAAACAACATACCCAACACCCTACTGTATAGAGTATAGGATCATTCCAAAAAGCATCTCACTAGCAAATAAAGGGAACGGAAGGCAGTATGTAAAGTTTTTTCAAACTTCTAAATTTAGAAGACCAGTTGTCTTTGTCATGCATTCAACCATGACAAGTATTGAAATTGAGGTGGATTAATGAGATTAAAACTACAGGTTACCATAATGAACAAAAAGAATATCTATCATTTCCATCGTAAGTGAACATGAAATCTATACCTTGGCCCAAGGAGGGAGGCCGACATCATTCAAAGGTTCGCCATCTTGTTTCACTCCAAAATGGTAAGAGTTTGAGTTAACAAGAAACTCTGGCATGTAAAAGAATTCAGGAACTAGCTCCTTCACATCACTTGTATTAGATAGGCAGTTCCGATATGTGCTCTCAACACTTTGAAAAAGGCGGTCTGCATGGTCAAATTTACCACCCTATAAAAGAATAACACATAAGTAGGAATATTTCATGCAGAGTTAGCCCTTCATACATACAATGCAGGGTAGAACAACTGAATAATAGCTTATTTTCATCAAAAATCTAGGATTTGAGGAAGAAAAAATGCAGACTGGAAAAAGCTGTGAACGTAGAAATGTAGAAACATAAATAAGCATATATGCCACTTCAAGAAAAAAAGAACATATATGCAAGTACTAACATACCTGCAGTGTACGGTGTAGGCCTGTAAAAGGCTCTAACCTAAGGAGATAAAATAGCACGATACCCATGCTTGAGTAATGAGATCCATAATAGAAACTGCAAAAGAGTACGCAGGTATCATTATGCATGTTAAATTATCTTTTATGTCAGAAACACTGCTGTAGATCCTGCAAGATCACTTAAAAATAACCTGGGGATATCAGGGTCAGAAAAATTATGGTATCTATCTTCAAAAACCTGCAAAGATAGACAAAATAGTATCCTCAGCATATTCAAACTTCTCACAAAGAGTATTAAACCTGACATTCACACAGAAAAGTTTAATTAAATAACCTCAAAACGTTTTTGATCCAGTGCTCCAACAGGTTTTGAAAGATCACGAAAAGTAGAAGACTTGTTGAAATCAAGATTCTCGGATGAATAATCAGCCAATACCCAAGGAAATACAGGATACTGAGTTAAGTCATTATATGATCGGCCAGAAAGGGTATTGAGAATCATCAGATATTCAAAGTTGGTAATGTCTCTTCTCCTCCAACTCTCTCTGGCAGTTTCGGCAAGCTCCAAGGACACACGTCTATCAACAAAGGAAATAACTCCAGCCTTGTCCCTGTACCCCTTTGGAAAAACAGATTCATTTCTAGTGGCTACTATCAAGTGTCCGACTTCTTTGGCTTCTTTATTTGATGCAAAATTAAAAAATATTGGAGCAGCCGAATCATTGAAGTAAACCTCAATGGCAGAGTATCTGAGCAAATAGCGAGTCCAATGGACAGCCTTTATCTATTATCAGAACCAAATAAATATAAGAGAATTCAGATTTCAGAAATCAGAACGGAATAGAACCAAAATGAATTATTTAGAAAGTTTTGTACCTTGCCAATTTCCCATCTTCTATGGCGCTTGATGTTTTCAGATTGCTTCTGAAGAAGATTACCCAGAACTGCATTTATGTTATCAGAGGACTCTCCCTCAGAAGTTAAATCTAAATTAACTGGCCATTTAATAAACTTTTGCTTCAGCATTCCTAAATTATCACTTTTGTTTGAATCAAAACTGCCTGATGCATGAATATTTCTAAAAACAGATGACCCCCCTGTGCCTTCAACCAAGAACTCGCCAAAAAAATGTAAAAACTTCTTCATGACAGCCAAACGCCCAGCTAGTTTTCTTTTAGGGGTGACAAGTACACATGGAACAGACATGAGGACCTGAAAGTTGATCCAGGTAAAAGGAATGCATATACATGTTATATTATTATTTAACACCTCTTTCATTTAAAGATACGTACCTCCCTAGCTTCTGAGTCTATTGAGGTAGAGGAATGATCTTTCCGCTCCTGGAGATCCTTCTGATCACTTTCATCTTTTGGACCCTCGGAGTATTGTCTCTCTGATAGATCCTCACTGGTAGAGGCCTTCTGCTCACTGTTGTCAGCATCAAGTTCTACAGATTCTAAGAAACTTTCATCTGTTATCCTTCGAATTCCTTTAAGCAAAAACTGTTTCATTTGCTGTGGAATGTGAGCCGCAAAGCCTGATTTTGTTTCAGTCACAGAAGGAACAGTCCCATTGCTAGGAAGAGTGGAAGGAGGATGACAAAGCTTTTCATTAAAATGATAATTTTGCCTTAACTTCTGCCTACGACGCCATGTGTCTTCTGTCTTGTCAAGTTTCCAATGTGTAACGATTTTGTTAGGGAAAGGATTAGCTGACCATGGACCTCTTTCATCAATCAAAGTGCGAAGCATGTGAATCCAATTTTCCTGTTACAAGTTAGGTTTTGACAAATGGAAATGGGAATCACATTCAAACACAAGGCACTACAATGTAAAGATAAAGCTGTATGCTTACAGCAGTCACTTGTTGCTCCTCATCATGAGCAAGCTGGAAAGAAGCTCTTCTGCTATCATCTGAGGCAAGAATAGCATTTAAGCTACTGCGTGTTTCATCTTCAAAAGTTCTCCATTGGTTCAAATCAGAAGACATATTCTCATCCATTCTAACACGGAACTCATCCAACTGTTTTGTCCGCTCCACAGTGGCATTTCTTAGATATTTAACCTCATCGGAAACCTGAACCATAAAATGATGAGATTAACAAGATTGTATTGTAACAGAAAAATGTAAAAGTGATCACAGATATGGTTTCACTTATAATGTCTAACCATCCTTTTAAGGGATATATAAACACAAAGATAAGACTACAATGGTCTTAGATCTAACAAGTTTGATGTTATAAGACAATATTGCTGCTTCCTATGAGGGTCAATATGACCAAGAAAAAAATGCGTCTTCATTGATTTAGGTGACAGAATGAAAACCTAATCAAGGGCGCAAACACATATAAAATTGTTATCCCTGAGAGTTAACTAGTCATTTTAAGTTGGGTAAACATAGTACAAGCAGCTAATGCCTAAATGGTACAGGTTGGTAATGCATGGGTCTAGTATAAATAGGTGCGAGAGGGTCTAGCAGAAGGTATTCTGTTTTGGAAATTGGACGTGAGTCTGTGGAGAGACTGGCCTCTCGAAAGCCAGAAAACCCTAGGTTAACCTTTCGATTGTGAGTAATACAACCAGAAAATTGCATTGATTTTACCATATTGATTCGGTGTTCAATAGACATGCTTACTCAATTAGAAATTATACCTCCTTTTCCATTGTCAGCTGTCCAAAAATAATACGTTTAAAGGCCACATCCAAAAAGTAGTATACACCGAGCTGAACTGGAGCTTAAACTCTAGACTCAGCTTGATTGAGGCATACCTGAGCATGATAACCAGCTCGAACCGGAGTTCAACTGGTTTCCAGATATCCCAATCTTGGACTGCCAAGACAGTCAGCTAGGTTTTTTATGCGTATTTTTATTTTTTCAATAGGAGCAAGCAAATACAAAGACTGGGAAAATTTGGTTCTCCAATGCAGTTGAAATACACTACAAAAACAGTAAATCTATCAGCATTATTTACTCTTTGTTCACACTAATCATATGGGCCTTTCTTACCCCTTCTTACATGTCAAAAATAGTAAATACACTTTTGGTATCCACTCTAACCCAGTCTTACAGAATGCTTACCATATTCATTTATTGGTTCTAATATGAGTTTTAAGACAATTTTCTCGGGCTCAAGGTTCTTGTAAAAGTGATCTTACGACCCAAAAATATGCGGCACATATGAGAAACAAACTAGATATATGAATAACTAGACAACAAAACACTATGAGCAACAACTGGTTTCAGGAAGAAGTAAGCAATCAGCAATCGTCATTCAATAGATAGCCCCTCATGATACTGATAATGATGAAGCCGTGAGCAGAAAGAGAGAGTAGAGTAAGTTTTGGAAACAGAGGAGAGAAGAAAGAAATCAAGTACTTATAGGATGGCTCAATAGAAGTACATGATGAAAGGATGAATGAAAAGGTTAGAGAGGAAAAAAAGGCACGGAGTTAAATCAAGTTAGTCTGGACTCTTGGCAGAAAAAGTTCTAACAGTACCATTTTCTTATAAACCTGCAGCATTATTTCTTACACAGCCTTCTGGGCCCGCTTTTCCTCTATTAGATACAGCAACATATACATATTACTTCCTCCACCCCAAAAAAGGATTCAACGCTTTGTATATTGTGTTATCTGAAAATAATTCAAGGTTTCCATTTTTGGAGGATTCCAATGCAAATTATCAACTTGCCCCTCACTATCGCTACAAGATATGTGTAAGATCGATTGTGGTCCACAAGTTTTTTAAAGTTTGTCTTATTGAAGGGTATTTTAGGTAATTGATTATTAATCAAAGACTTCTATTAAACTATATACCAACAGAAAATCAGAAATGCAGACATAAAACAGGCACCAGTAAGCTATTTGGTAACTATAAGCGACAAGCGTCTAGCACTAGTTTGATTTGTAATAGAACTTGCGCTTCTTTTGGGGGGGGGGGTTGCTTGTATTTGTTCTTAAAAGACTCGTGAACAACTTAAATTAAGGCGCGAGTTGAACTTAAATATCAGTAACATAACTGGTTTGAGCTCATTTAGGCTCAGGCTTGTATTGCCAATGTGATCTTGAGCTCAATTAAACCATGAATTAACCACTAGTTAGTCCTATATCAAAGTCAGTAACAAACTGAAAGGGAAAAGCAGAGAAGCAAATATTTTGACCACTTCGTTGTGATAATCTCCTGATGTGACATGTTTGCATTCCCATAAATTGATCTTCCTCGCTATAACGTTTCCTTTACAAGTACTTTCTAGGAGTAACATGCATTTTACCGTTAAAATCTTTTGAACGTTGTCTCCTATTATTTATTACTTTTATCATAATCATATGTCCAAAGATGCCAATCTGCATGCACACCCAAACATTGTATCATTCACCTTATCCATCTTTAATCCTTTACATTAGCTGGATTGGTGATGAACCTTGTGTTAGATTTCTATCTATAAGTTGATGATCAAAAGGCCTTTATGATTGAAGCGTTACACCAAACTCATAAAAAATGCGTGCGTTGTTCAGAATACCAGCTCATTAACAAGCGTAACTTTGATGGAAACAATTTAGTGTTGCTTCTAACTGCCTTAAGTTGGCACATTTTGTAGAGAACAACAAAACAGCACATGTGAATACCAAAGTTTGAACATGGGTAGTAATTGATGTGAATTGGAATGAAAATAACAATAAGACACACCGCAGCAAGCACACGATCCTTTTGTATCAGATTCTGGATTGCTCCTGTTTCCTTTGAGATGCTGCCTATATCTGATGTATCATCTCTTCCAATAAGACTGGTTGCCAGCATCAACTTCCCACAATCGACCGCTTCTCGGATTAAGTGTGCAATGACATGAAACCGAGCACCATCATCCAACATCCCAAACTGGGATCTAACAGCAAGCAAGGCCCTATGTGGAAAGCTTAGAATGTCACGTTCACCGACACTAATATATAACTATACATTATCGCACGAAGAAACTTCAAATCGTAAAGAAAAACAATACCAGATAAAAAGTTGTAGTCTACTTTTGCTTTGTTCATCATCAGCAGTTAGGAGACAAGGCAGAATGGGAATGAACTGCTGGACACATCGTGATGCTCTTTCAAGAGAAGACTTACATAGATATATGATCATGAGACGAAAAGCAATTCTTGAGCACTTTTCAGGCCTTAGTAGCATTGCTTTATCAATTATTTTGTTTGGCTTTCCACCCAGTGCATTGCTGATTCCTCCTGATACAACAACTGCGGCCATTTCTGCAGCAGGAATATTCAGCGACTCAACCAAACCACGTGCTCTTTGGCCAAAAGATGGTCCTATGGTTGATGAAGAGTTTGGCAACAACCTGCTTGGCCCTTTCCCATGCATCTCGCTAATGACAACCCACAATTTATCATAGAGATTCCACCATGATTCATCAATCTTTTCAACTTCCTTGAGAACAGACTGCATGAGAACCTTTGGATCTCTAGAAAAGAAAAGCAATAAATCATATTTACATGTACCAAAATTGCGACAATATCAATATTAAGGCAATCAGCATCCATGAAAATTAAGCTACACAATAAGTTTCCAAAGAATCACAACAAGACCCTTTTTGTGTGTTAGAATCAAGTTTTTATTTATGCTAGCTATAGATGAGCATACATATGACATGGATAAAGAATAACATGTACGCCTTTTTGCAGATCCTGTCACGTTTATAGAAGAGACCAAAAAGGAGCCAAACTAGCAGATAAACAAAGTAGCAACCAATGGTTAATCTGCCCACAGAAGTCAAATACTTCTACTGTCTATTCTCTCATTAGTTTACACCAACAACCATATCTCTCTTCAAATTCTGTTTCACTCTATGTTAAAAACCATTCCCACATAACTGTATTCTTTTATATTCCCCATGCTCACCTTATTCTTCTTCTACAACTTATTCCTCGCAATCCCATAAATGGTTAGGAAAAGAAGAACGATAGAAAGATGAAAAAGAAAGAATGAAGAAAATGTTCTATGAAAGAAAGGAGAGAATAAATTACAGAAAATAGAGATATCAAAAAAGAGGACAGAAGAGAAAACAATGATTTACATGCCACTAGATATCAATCATATCATTAGTCCTAAGCTTATTTAAAGGACTCAAGACACTTAATGCTCATCAAACCTTAGACCTGAAATGTTCTTAACAAGTAAGATTGTAATCTTGTAATCCTTACTAATATATATGTGAGCCATCAACCTCGTGTCTGGGAGGGATTTCATCTTTTATGTTGTATTGTGACTCATAACACCAAGCATAAGATCAAAATAATAAAACTACAGGGACCAATTACAAGGACATAGAAAACATGCATGCCATGCTGTTTGAGAAATCCTAAAATGCCATAAAAAATCTGTTGAATTTTCCCAAGTTAAAAGAAACCCAATCGGTATTAAATCCAGGCTTTTATATGCCAAATGGGATTACACGTGTGCAAATTACTTTTTAGTCTCATAGAAAGTACATAAGTTTGAGCATGCTAAGAGCCTCTTTCTCTTGATTAGCTAAGATGTAAGGTACAATTGGCACTAGTCGTTCAAATAAGTAGATGATGATTGATATCAGGTGTAAGAATTATCCCTATAACCTTCAATGAATAGATCATTCTGGCAGTACCTTGAGAGATGATCATGATTTTCTCCCTGAAGGGCCTCATACAAAGCAGATACAAGCTCTTTATCATTTTCCAACTCAATGCATTCAGGAGAGAAATCATTGCCACATGCTGGAAACTGCAAAAGGAAAACAAAAGAAAACAGACCAGGTTAATTACTGTGAAGATTGCCTCTGAGATGTGTCATACATTTGTGCATTTAGGGAGCATTCAAGTAGTGATAAGACCACTTTATATGCCTTCTAAAAAAATAGCTCACAAAAGCTACTATAGAGCATTTCTACACATTTAAGTCATTTACCATGTAACTTCAATCAGTATATGAGCAAAACATGAAGTACCAAAGGATACCTCAAAAGTCTCAACTGTAACAAGCACTCATATCAGTACCCAGATATATTATATATCAAATAGGCCACAACAGAGCAGCCAGGCCACAACAGATAAGCCGTTGATCTTTCCTTTCTCTTTTTCATTTCTTTTTTTTCCTTGTTGATAATCAAGGCAGAGTTATCGTATCACAACAGGGTACCTTCTAAGTGCCTAACGAAATTAACTAACCGAACACATATGATCATTGCAAAATGGCAAACAAATAGAGACATTGCCACAAATGTGCCTCTTACCATATCAAAGTAATCCAACTAAATGATATTAAAAGACTACAGGATTAATGACATACTGGAAGCTTGTTATCAAGTTCAGAAATCAGCATCTCATCAATTAGTTTCAGAAGGTACAATGTGTTGTCACGACATGGTTGCAAAGAAAGAATATTTTCTCTGGAAGATAAGTCCACGAGCCGCTTCATCAAATCCTCATATATATCACGAACCAAATACCGATATGATTTTCCACCCTGTACAGAAGTTAAAAACTTGTGGATACAAATACAAAATTGAGCTATAAGAATAGTGACAAGGGAAGGGAAGGACATACTTGTTCGCTTTGCATGAGGAGAAAATTCACAGTCTCTTCCAAATGTTGCCAGCCACCTTTTATCAACTGTATGTAGTGACAAAGAACTACAGAAAATAATGTCCTCACATAGTTCTGCTCTAGTAATTCATTGTCACCATGAAGTCGTGACTTCATTTTGTAGTTTCTCAACACATCAAGCTTCACAGAAGCAACTAACCATGCATTCCATCCATTTTCCTATCAAAAAGCTTCAGTTATCATACAGTTGCTGCAAAAAAAGGTTATAAGAACAACAATTCTCGAACCCCTTACCATAAGTGCCTCAATGTTAGAGATATTTGAATCTAGCAATTCAAGCAGGTCTCCAATTATTTTAATTCTTGCATTCACATCATCACAGCCAGACAAAAATTTAAAAATGAGAACCAATATTTGAGGTAGGAAGAATTGGGAGTTGTTTCCCTTGCTTCTTTGTCTCTCAGGCTGATTATGTCTCTGTATGACCTGCAAAAATAATTATGAGTGTTTCAGTTGAGTACAGCCTCTTTTTAAGCGTATAATGAATAAATCAAAGACATCTTCCACTGGAAAGAAAAAATTGCCCTCTCTAAAAGGCACACATTAACTTATGACATCAAGATTATCAAGGCAATAGAACTAACTTTCTAGCATGAGAGTTTTTAACAGTTGTCACATACAACACAAATCATCCCTCTTTAGTTGATATAGGTGGTCTTTTGAAAAAAAAAAACGTAGGGCTTGGATGTAACCTAATGCTTCTCTTGCTTAACTAGACAAGTAAACTACTACCATCCATCCCCAAAAAAAACCAACTGGAAAGAAAATATCCCCAACAAGCTCAAGGTTACAAAGTTAACATTAGAACTCACTTCTCACAAAGGTCCAAATTCCATAAGTTCCATAGTGAGATATTATGCCAAATTTCTCTAATGAGCTTGCTGAGATAGAAACCCAGAATGCCAAGACACATGAAGGGGCTAGACTGGGAGGCACAGAAGCATGAAGCGATATCCATGGCTCATCAAATAACCATAAATACATACCTAAAAACACCAATGACAAGATAGTTAAAGAAAGGGAAAAATCATGCATTTTAGATCACCTGTTTCGGACTAGCACCACCGAGAAGAACATCAAAAAAGGTTGCACACAGAACATCTGTCTGAGGAAAACGAAACAGCCTGTCTGACATGGCGGAGAAAATAGGTTGCAACCTTAACTCGACTCTCTTCTGGCCTTCTAAAAGAGACTTTGATCTTCCCATAGCCAAAGTAAAAAATTTTGACCCCTTCTTCTCAGATGGGATACCGACCAAAAGTCTTCCCAGGAGTTGCAAACCAAGTAATCGGATCGGTTCATAATCCCTACAATTACAAAAGAAAAAAACAAATAAATAAATGGAATCAAGATGGAACTGGTTTTATTTTGAACACAAGTTCATAAGCTGGTAAATTGCAGCCAATAATAGCAACAGCATACATTAGACGGATTATTACACACCCAATTTCCATGAGAAAATAGATTGATTAAAACATGCATCAACAGGGTGGCACTAGACTGAGATAAAACTTAGTACGTCATAGGAAAATAGATAACAAAATGAACCAAATAAAACATCTAAGACAACAAAATAGTTTTTTCCCCTAGTAACAAGATAATGGATCAACATGGTCTACATAGCCCATACAAAATGATTAGGAATAAAAAATCAACACAAGTGTAGTTGTGCTTGTGCATATGACCCACATAAAGAAGGACCAAATTAGCAAGGCACCTATAAAGCCACGACTTCAAATATTCACCAAATATAAAACAGAACCAAACTTAAATGGAGAAGAAATGAAACATGTTACCTCCATTTAACAAATAACGATATCTCATTAATTGGTCTTTATACTTGTCTGAAAGCTTGTTGCCAAAATGGAAAGCCATACTATGACAAGCATAGTTATTATACCATGGCAAACCATTGTGATAGCCAACCAACAGGAAAACCAGGTTGTTCATTCACTATAGGCGTCCACAATGTTGTCCATAGGCATCTAGTCGTTTACTATATGTTATATACATGCTTATACACCATTACATTGAAATTTTATATAATACCATCATCAAATATTAAACGTTCTATATGAATATTAAACAACAAATACCATCTGAAAATTAAATCGTTACATAGATTATACCCAATTCTACCAAAACACGAAATAAATCAATTGTTACAAAATATAAACTAATATTTTATAGAAAAAATAATAAATATCATTAATTTCAGATAATTACAACTATACAAGTAATGCTTCAGTTAACTAAAAAATTAAAATAAACAAATAAAGTAAAAATGGATGACTTGACAACTACACAGCAATTACAATTAGAAAGGATGAGCTGTCTATGAATATGACATGACTCTACTTACAGCAAGTTGTTTCAGACAACCTTACAGCAAGTTATGCTGGATGTCTGCAACTAAGAAATTAATTTAAGACTTAAATTTGAATAAACAAATAAAGGAATACAGAATTACATCAAGTCAGGTAAAGAAAGAGCAAAATATAAAACTTAGAAGCAATGATGACTTGCAGCAAATAACTCGAAAAAACAGTGATGATAGGTAGAAAACAAAGACAATCAACACTGGGTAACCTCTTACAGCAAGTTATGGTTACACGAAAAAACAGCAAACGGCAACGATTGACAGAAATGAAGACAAATTGACAATTCATTACTCTTACTTTTTGTATGCAAGTGGGCTTTTTTCTTTTTTATTGATTCTTCTACGTTTGGTTTATTATCATTTAGGCTAAGTTTGAGCCCAAGCAAAAACTGTGAGACGGCATGCCTCGTTTGTCATGGTGAGCATGCCCAAGGGAGGGGGCCCCATGTCACTTATCTATTGCCATGACTCTGCAACAACCATGATGACAAGCAAATAAAGATAGACAGGATTTCTGCAGGCTCCCCCTCCTAAAGTGTATTATACAAGCAAATCGTGGTGTCATACTTCACCAAGATTTATCTCTATCCTTAGTTCCCAACGTGCGTCTTCAATCATACGAAAAATACAACAGATCAAAATGGCTAGTTCTAAAATAATTGTGGATAAGCAGCTAAAAATGAAATCATCAACGTTGCAGGACCTGTTCATGCTTTACCATCTACAGTCCCATTGTTTAATATATTCTTGAGATATAAATATCTCTCAATTGCTGTTAGTAATAGTGGCCTACCTACCTCTCCTCACACCCTCCTCTAATGCCCCCTCTACTCACCGTGCATTTCCTGACCGAAAATGGATGGTGGCATGCTCAGGAACTCTTGTCCTCAAGTTGTTGCCACAAATAACAAAAATTAACCACACAGATGGTTAGCTTATTTATATAACCACAAGACATATACCTTTGAAGCAGATTGACAAAAAGATGACAGCCACCAACTAAATTGACTTGATCAAGAAACGATGCGAGAAGTGACTTTTGAGAAAGAGCTCGGATAATCATATGTAAAATATCCTCAATGCACGCCATGTCTTGACTTGTCTCAAAAAAGGATACAAGTGATTCAATATCTGACACTGCAATATGCTCCCTGTAAAATCCAGTCATGTTTAATAAGATCTTTAAATGGCCCAAAGACTCGATATGTGGTGATAATCAGTAAAAGGGGTATAGGATGAGGCTTGTCCAACTAATTTTAGGCTTAAAGGAGGTGTGTTCTTGAATAGAATGTACGGGCAGGAAAAATACTTGCGAGTTACAACTGGTGAAGAATGTGCATACCTGAGACTCATCTCACCAATACTTAGTAAAAGCAGTCGTATTTTTTGTATTTCTTCCTTGTTGGGCCTCTCTCCAAAATCTTTGTTTGTTATAGGTTGCAAGTGAGCTTTGCTTCCAACAGTCGAATAAGGCATGTTATCCCAGTAAAACTGGTGAATAATATCAAGAACGCGTGGAAAACRACACAGACTCTCGAGAAGCCTTGGATCATTATCAAATTGCTGAATGAGAAACATGTATAGTTCCCGTTGCACTTTGTAGACAGCGTATACCCAGATGAAAGGATTAAGGAATACATGTGCAATTGCATCCTTTACAAGAACCTCAGCCAAGCCTGGACAGGCATCAAATATAGTATCACAAGAGATTATATAATAAATAAACAGTAATTCCATGAGAACTTTTAGAAAGATGATAGAAAGTGTTTGCACTAAACGACAAATTCTTAAAAAGTTACCAACCACAATTCGAAATAACATTTAGCATATGTTTCAGGGCTGATAAAGTGTCCATATTAAGCTGTTGGGAAGGCACTGATTGCAATAAAAACCCAAGAACCGAAAATCCAGAAAGATTAAGCATCTGTTGTTGATTAGGCAGGTTCTCATCTAGAACAGAGGCGATAAGCTCAATGATTTCAGCAGTTAAGCGCTCTTTCGTTATAGGTGTAAGCAAATTGTATCCAAGTTGCTGGCTGTCATTCTCATACAAATCAATGCGAGTGAATAGCGGGAAGAAGACAGAAACACCCCCAGCACAGTAGATAATCTGTTGCAATAAGCGGCGAGAACATAGTTGAGTCCCATTTTTTACAGTTGCCTCAAATGAACTCTTGTCAAGCGCATGATCCAGCGAAGGTGAAACATTAAACAATGTCCTACGATTACTAGCCTGAAAATGAGAGAGCAAATGCAGAAGTCTTTAATTGTTTAACTTTTTGGCAGACCATAAGAGAAAAAAATCATTATGTTTATCAGGGAACTTTTTAAGGAAAACCTGTGCATTAAGTCCAAAAACAATCTTGGAGGCCAGACCATCTCTGGCATCAAAAACTCCACTGGGCAACGGATTATCGGCAGAAACCGCAAATTCATTGTCAAGAAACGAGTACATATAGTTTGGTCCTAGGAAATAGATTCCCTGCACTTGTTCAGAAGTGATGGCATCACTAAAGAGATAAACTGGACCCATCTGACCGAAAAATGGAGATGATTCTTTGCTGGAATAGGAAGCACTGTCTTCTTCAAAAGAAAGCAAATTAATTGGTGCTCCTATCATGCAACTGGTCAAAGGCTCAGTGACTTTGGCATAGCTGAACAAACGAAAATAAAAAAGACAAGAAAAATTATTTCCTATATATATATATATATATATATATATATATATATATATATATATATGAGAACAAAAGAGAGCAAAAATACTTCAATTCACAGATAATAAATGCATAAACTCTTCTTCAAACTATATAGCACATGATAGAAGTGGGATAGGACCTGCACTTTTCTGACGAAACAAGAACTCCATCCAGATAACATCTTAATTGACTCCCTCCTGAGAAAGCTCTGCCAATACTATGAGTTAGGCACAGAAAATGCCATTTCTTACCAACAAGGCTGAGAGGAAATGTAACACACTGTCGTTTCTGGTAGATTGACTACAAAAGATAAAGGAAAAACAATTAAAATTGGTATTGTTATTGTTATAAAGAAATGCTCAAAGCAGATAAAATCATATTATGTCTGGAAAATGTAAGCAGCCAAACAAAATAAAATGTACAAAGATACACTATTTCTGTTAAAGAAATAGTTCATTCTACCTCAAAAATTAGCCTATCCTTTGCAAGGGCAGCCAGGCATCCTCTTTTACTTTCTGAAAGAAAACTAAAGAGCCCCATTGTTCCACTTGTAGGAAAACTTTCTACCCGGAGCCAACAAGAAAAAGAAAATCCCTTATAAAGAGGCCATTGCACTGGTGTGCTGATTAATATTCCCTGCAATAAAAATTGATCATAAGATAAGTAAAACAAATGTGAATCAGCCCACAAATAATAAGATTTTCGAAAACCTTTAAGTGTGAGCTTCATACTTTTGGGGTAAAGAGACAATATAGGAAAATCTTATTCAGTTGAACCAAGAAGACACTAAAAAAGGAATTACTTATTTCAGCAACTTCCACAAAGAAGGATATAGATCACCCTTCAGAGAGAAAGAAGTAACTTTAAGTCACAAATGAATTTGCAATATATAACGATTTGTTGACTAAAGTAGATTAAAGATTCTGTACAGAGTGAATTGGCAGAATCTGTTGACAAACGTACAACCTTATTAGAAGCAAGTGAAGTCATAGAATTTAGCCTTCAATAATGCTTCTGGTTAGATAAATGCACTCCTTACCCCATGGTACAACCACTATCCTATTAGTGATCTATAAAGGAGCCACTTCACCCTAAAAAGAGAATCACCATGAGAAACTCCTCCTGACATGCTCTCATATAACTTTATAGGACTTACCCAGAAATCAAACAGCTGATGGTTTCAACCTTTTACACGAACATATTGTCCTATTTCAGGAAAAGTCCTATCAAATTAACTCAACCATTCATATTATATTCAAGCACGTTATCCTATTTCAGGTTCTTATATATCAATTTTTTTGTCCTTCAATAGTACTTCCACCAAGGTTAATTCAGCCTAGACTGATGTCCTCCAATTAGAAGTCCCATTATCCTTTCCATTATATGTAATAGTCTGTACTGGATCTGGCCAAACCATATCAAGTGATACCCCCTTGTCAATGTAATAAATCACACCCCAAATGTCTTGTCATTATCCTCACTTTCAACTCCTATGCCTTCTCATGCATCAAACTTTAGCATCATCCCTTCTGCTGAGCTAGTCTTATGCGAATGCTGCCTCCAACATACCTGTTCTTTATTATCAGAAAATTTATTTATTCGTGCATATATATACAAGGGTGTTTTAAATAAGATATAGAAGAAAATCATTTATAATTTTTTGCTCAACGCTCAACGCTTGGATCAGCATTGAGTAGTCTTTGTCATGCCGAAACTGCTAGGCTTTAAAACTGTCAGCTTCAGTGAAACTTTTTTCAAGTAGAGTACATTAAATGCCACCAAACTTACAGAATCATCTCTATCGAAATTGAAGAAGGCCGTCGGTCCTTTTTCATTTAGCATAGATGAAATATTGGTTAACAATAGTGAGCAGTACTGTTGCCGAGTTCCCACTTTCTCACTTCGAAGTAGAGCAAAGATTTTGCGGATTTCCTTCCCAGATACACTATGTCCACCAGTGACCTGAATTAACTGGCCAATTTTCAGGACAACACTATCATTTTCTTCATAAGGAAACCAGTCAAGAAGAAAGCTCAGCATTCCCACTCGGACACATGATGCTCTATTTGATATGGAATCTCTAAGCAGCTGAAGGAATACGTTCAGCCCTTCATTTCGCATTAAGTCACTGCTCTGCCCAGTTTTAAGAAGGAACAATAATGATTCAGAACTATCCACACATAATCATAATTAAAAAATTATTACTAGCTCTAAAGGAAACAACATAAGAAAACAATGATAGAAATAGGTCGATGATTAACCAACCTTCTGCAACACACTCAGATAAAGCAAGATAACATCTTCATTCTGATTCCAAAGAAAGAAAAAAACATCAAGATGAGAAACCAAAACATGAAGAAGAGAACTAAATGAGAAGCAAAAATATCCAACAGTTTTTGAAAACCTTACTTCCCCATGGAAAATAGAATAAGCATAGCATAATAAGAACTTCGACTGTTGATACCGAAGCAGTCTAAAACAAGGTTTTGCAAACATACCCTCATAACAAGACTCCGCTTGAGATCGAACTTTCCATCAACAAGCATATCGAGCAGAGCAGTTAATAGACCGGCATTTGGTCGTCGGTGACAGAAGTCTAACAGCAAGCTTTGCAGTGTCTGATAACCCTTGCCAACAAGAGCTCGAAAAGCAGCCTACACAAATTCAGGTGTCAATAATGTTTAATTAGAAACCAAAATAAGCTTATCAAAACAAGATAAAGCACTACATGAATGCTTTACTTGAAAAGCCATTCACATCCAAGCTTGTTCCAATAAACAGACATATGATTAAAATATAGTTGAGCATAACATAGAACGTGAAAGCTAGCAATTACTATTACTGTCATTACCAGTTTAGATGGGACCAACAATAAGAAAATACTGAACCATAGCTTACCAAGTGCAACACACCTTGCTTCAATGGACAAAACAAAGAGGCCTACCGGGTAGTAGGCATGGACAAATATAACCAAAGATTAATAAATAAACATGTATGCATAAAAGGTCTTCTCAATGCACTTTATAATGGAGATGATTGACAACATCAAACCAAAAGGTACATAAAGGTATATTTCGACACTTACATTTATGGTTGAAAGTGTATACAGAACTCTTTGAATCATTATTACTAAGAAGAGCATTCCCAACTTCACTATCAGAAACTTGGAATCCCTTCTTCCCATCTTGTGCTTCACCTCACAATTTTTATTCTCTCTACCCGACTTTTTCCAAAACAAACATATTTATCAATTTTTTAGGAAACTTTGGAAATTCACTATCTTCGTTTCAGCAAAACAATAAAGATGCCTAAGCCATCAAAACCTTTTTCACTATAATCCAGTTACCCCATTCCTAACAAGATAGGTTGCTCACTACAAATTCTGAAATCATGCTCTAGGAAAAATGCAGAAAGCTAAAATACAAAATCCCCAAAGAAGCAATTAAAAGAAGGGCATAAAAGAAAAGAATATATATGCTGAGAAGAACATGATAAGCAAATGGGATTGTCGTAGCACTCAATATTTAAAAGCGAAAAAGTATATTTATGAATAGAAGAGGCAAAATGGGCGGATTAGGCAGGCAGGATGATACAAAGACTATACTATTATAATAATGATCCAATTTTTTAATAAATGGATTTAGAAGGTTCTACGCATTTGAATGCACTTTAGGTGACTTTCTGAACATTCAACTCACATTGGATCAGTTCCATCTGTAAGTAAGTTTTAGACCTTTACTTGTCAGACCCGTTGGAGATAAATTATAACCCAATGGATAATTTTCATGCAATGGATAGCAATTGCCACCTCTATTGAACACTTGGTATACAACAAAACATATTTGAACAAAGAACTGAAACAGATGAATAAGCAAAAGAGATTATAACATTTAGAATTAAAAATAAATGCTCTTGGTAGCTTGTCAATTCTGAACCTGCAGCAGAGTACCACTGTGTAAATGTTCTTTCTTTATTCACAGCTATGAAATTAATCTTGTAGTCATTTGCAGAAATAAAAACCATAAGGAATATAAAATATAATAACCATCGAACGCTGTCGAAGTGACTAATTCCTGGAAATTGGGATAGTGGTATCTGAAAACATATCTTGAGGACACCCGACATCATGACCTAGATTGGCACATCTAAATGAACGACACGACAATGCATGAGGCTACAACTATTTTGAAAGACGAAGATCCAAAAGCACAAGAGAGTAATCCTACACTACGAATAATAAGAAAGAAACCATATGAAGCCAATACCTTTGAGGCATCATTACCCATAAGAAGAGAGGTTAGAGTTTGAAGAACATTCAGTACTAGCTTTTCACCCTCTTCGTCTTCAGTGTTCCCATGCAATAAAGATACAACATGCAGAAAACACTCACCATCACAGAACAAAGTCTGGAAGTACTGCAATACGAAACATGTAAGACTCATCTTGACAACTCCACACTGCAAAGTCCATACATGTGCATGCAATCTACAAAATTATGAAATACATAACCGAGAAAATATACCATTCGGTCTTTCAAGAGCATGTCTCTCATCCCAACCAGCAGATCAATTGATAGTTTTGCAAAGTTCTTCTCCCTTTCTTTGACTTGTGTGAAGGTTTCCAAGTATTTAGAACATAAATATAACTTTGCCTTTTGATCTTCTTCAGAAGATGGAATGATCTACAGGCACCCGATGCAGCCAAGTCAAATACAAATACATACAGATACATACACACATAAATATATATGTGCATGCATGTGTATACATATATATATAAATATATATATATAAAGAGAGGGAGAGAGAAGGAACTCTCAAATTCCCATGTGACATTATAGAAATAATAGAAGAAAGTGATACCTTCATCAGAGCAAAAATATAAGAAAGCATGGACCTTCTCAAACATTCTTCCCAGAAAAGATCGAACAAACAATCAATACAAGTAGAACTATTCAAAACCAAATATTGTGCTTCTTCAGTAACCGAAAAGTATTCGGCAAATAGCTGCATGCAAGATTCCATACTATCACGCCAACTATGCACTGTCCCTGGTGAATTTGATTTTTTGGACTCTTGAGCTTGAATACAAGAAACTTTGAGCACTCGAGGAATTGCATCAAGTGTTCTAAAAGAGGAAACAGTTTTCTCGGGTGCAAGCTGCAAAATGTGGAGGAGACACTTCGCTAGGCCAGTGTCAACCTCAGGATTACAGGCAAATAGTTCAAGGGTGTCTAAGAGCACAGAACATTCGGGCTGTCATAACAAAACAAAAAAATTAGATACATAAACAATACTGTCAGATAAGAAGTTAACTAGAAGTAGCAAAAGGGAGGAAGCAACTCGAACTAAATAAGATTTCGTTTTCAATAATTACTTGGGCTATGCTAACACATGTGTTTCTGTTTTCATTTTCTTTGTAATGTAAACAAAATTGTGATTCTTATTTGACAAGGCAATCAAAACATGTTTTGCAAGACTTCTGTCTCAAAAGCAAGACGAAAATTCTAAATAAGAAACAGAAAGTTTTTTCTACCAGGTTTAAAACCTTAACTTTCTTGTTTGGTTGGATGGTGAACACGTGTTCTTTTGTACACCTACTTTGTAAACCATGAAAACATTCAAGCATCCACTTAATTGTCGTAAAAAAATTCTATATTAATTTTGGCTTTTCAAAAACACAAACATGTGCCAAACACCATTTCTTGTCTAGGCTACACATTTTGAAATGTAAACATAAACACGAAGAGCAAATATTGCCAAAAAAAAATCCTTCAATTTAGTTGTAGGAAAAAAAATCCTTCCATTTAATCGGATATATAGTTCCTAACAATTATAGAAATGTAGAAAGTTAGAAATATAATCAACATATTAAGCAATAAAAAGATAAGACTTCGGCTTCTACAAAATACCAGGGGCTTAGCATGAGTTGGGGGCAGTAATGCAACCAAGAAACTAAGTGCATCCCAGTTACATGCCCCCTCTCCCCCAAAAAAATATCTTTTAGCATACAACAAGTGGTTTGGGGTTGGGGTTCAAACAAGAGAGGTTGAGTGGAGCATGCACAAAATAAATTTTTATGTAGTTGTACTAATTAGAATGCCCTAGTGACTAGTGAGGACCATCAAGTATCACATACGGGTATAAAAAAACACAGCAGATGGAGAAGATTTTCTTCAGGATGGCATGCATAAACAATCTAAGCAGTCCTCCAACCAAAGTAATTCAGTGAACGCAAAATTCTTTTAGTATGTCAGACGTCAATAAACACATGGTACGTTACGAAGAAAAAGAAAGCAAACTAGCTACCAAGTTATTTTTACAGATCCACGATGTTCAACGAGTTTACTTTGAAAAGTTTACACATTCAGTTCGTAGAAGAATGATATCTCATTTTGATGGACTAGAATGATAATTGACATCACAATGGGGGGACTGGAGCCTTCATCTCATACATAGGTTTTCAAAATAAAAAAGAGAAAGAACTCACCATGTTATGAGAAGTTGCATCGAGGGTTGCAGCAAATTCCACGACAGAAATTACATTTGTTTGAAGGATATCAGTTACATTACTTGATGCATGTTTGTTACTGGATTTTGAACGAGTATAAGGCTCACTGCTCCAGGGACGAACGTCGCTATAGTTAAAATAAGCTTCAGGAATTACTGTTGAACCACTTCCAAAGTAGAAGTGCTCTGAAAAGATGAAATCCCACACCCCTTCTGACCGAAATACATCCAACAATGAGGGGGATAAAACAAGGATCTTTCTAAATACGAAGAGCACATAATGTTGCAGCGAATACAGAAATATCCTGCAACCAGATGAAGATGAACGAAATTACAAAAGTGAATACAAAAGAGGAGCAAGCCCACGTGAATAAGGTAGAAGTAGTGGACTAGATTATTTTCAGCTATACAGATATTAAATATAATCATTTTGGTGAAAAGAATATGAACAATAACACTTATGAGAAAAATCATTCACCTTAAGTGGCTAGGAAGCTCATTTTGATTTGAGAAGGCCTTAATGCTTGGAAATACAGTTAGAAGAACCCTCATGATGAACTTTATCGAAAGTTCTCCATATGCAGAAGAAAATGGAAAAGTACTTCGACCATATGATTGCACTTGATGTGATCTTAAATCCTCTAATGTGAGAATAAAGGAATAGAGAGTTTTGCTCAAATTGACGGTATAATTACTCCAATATTGGCAACTAGGAGTATTAAGAGACGAAGAAGTTTCTGTTATTCCTGTATTCTGAATACTGCTCTTGCGGTCACTATCAACAGAGGAAGGGATTTTTGTATCATCCTCCACCGCCGAGTTGCTTCTTTGCTGCATGAATTCTTGGAACACAAACGCTGGCAAACAAAAGCTATTTGCAAATTTGTGCACTCTTCCGTTTTCACATAAAAATTGCAAATTGTTCAAATTGCCAAAGCTTTAACATGGTTAAGTACATCAAATCATAAGGAATAACTACACAACAACCTCAGTTATGTTAACACTCAACTTTAACAGTCTGACATTCACCACCCTGCCCCAACCTACATGCTCTGCTTTTCTTAAAAGCATAAAATGAGGTTACTGTATCCAGAGACAGCTGTCCATCAGTGGAACTGCCACCAAGGGAGAGCCATTCCCAAGCAAGTGTTCTCACATGGTTACAATCGATGCATGATGTGGCATTAGTTCATTTCTGTTGTCACTCATATGAACATGGAAAAAATTGGCATAAAGAAAGGATACACGGCTTCCCTGAGAACCTCCAAAGAAAGAACATGGAGCTGCAGAATCCACATTAAAGGATTTATATCTCCACTAAGAACATGAGAATCAAAAGGTTAGATCAGCAAAACATAAAAACATCAATTAAGGAGATATTCAAACTAAAAGTATAAAAAAACCAGCAAAAGCATGCATTGATATGAAAAGTACACAGCCTTGTCGTGTTCCAATATTGAAACTGAAAAAATAAGTTGCATCTAAGATAGCAATCACATCATTTAACCATTTTCAGAAAAAGTTGATCTTATCACAAATGTCAACACTTTGTTTTATAATTTTGGCCCAACTAGTTTTGTATACATTTTTCGTTTTCTCGTCATTTGTGGTTTAAGATTGTCCATACGTAACACAAGATCAGCATAGCCACATGGCAACAAGATGATCCAAAGTGTCCTAAAATGCCTAGGCTCAAGGCACATAACTGATCAATCTGTAAAGCGACAAATCAATCACAAAAAAAATTATATATCTATTGCATTTCAGTAATTACATGACATAGAAAAGACACATGCTTAGAAGCCTATAATAATACTGGTGCGGTCTTTTTGTAACTTATCTGTAGTTGGTCATCTCTACAACCATTATGTCTATTTGTAGGTTTCATCGCTGGTTTAACAGAAAAGATAAGAATCAACAAGGTGGTGTGCTCTCTAGGAGAAGAAGAAAAGAGCAGTATGAGGGTTCATACATACATTCATACACACATACATATATATACACAAACACACACACGGGAACTCAACACAACTCTCCGTATCATCCATTCTCCTGCCTCTCTCAGTTCCCACTTTCTGTCTGTCTCTTCTCGTGGGAGTTGGAGTCCAACAATCTTGCATCGAGACAGACGCCTTGGCCACTTGATGAGAGGGGCATATGCCACATAGTAAAGGAAGCTAACGAACAGGCATCACATTTTAACAAACACACATATCCGATCACACCAAATAACAGTTCTGCCATTTCTTCTCAGAAAACATTTTCCCACCTAAAATTTCAAAAACTACCATATCATAAGCTTGAGTTTAAACTTCTAAGAGTTGCCAGAAGAAGAGTGTCAGGATCTAAGACCTCATTCTCATAAAGCTTTTCTGTTTCTCTCTCTTCACCATGCATAAAAGACACCACTCAACTCACATTAATGAAATCTTCTATCGACAGTAGATAATGCATCAAAAGAATTCCCTTGGACGATTAGACTGTCCACATTTCATCCTTTGAGAACCATACTAGATATGTGTAGATGTAGAAGGCAGGTGGATTAACAATTTCTTGCTTGGGGGAACCTTAGAACTCATATTTTTGCATGTATTGTGTAGAGACAAAAAAAGATTTGTCCTGCATCTGCAGGCCATAGAAGCATATCACTCTGGGAAAGATCATATCTGAGATACATATGGGAAAATATCTGAGATGTGTCAACAAAAGAATCAAAAGTCCAAACAGAGGGGAAAGGAGCAAGTTCACATTTGTGCAACCTATGTTCATTTTGGTAACAATGTTACCTGTGGGATCACAAGTAACTGGACAGTTTGGAAGACATTGTAGATGAAAACCAATCGGCATTCATCCCGGGACAGAAAATCTCTGACAATGAAACAGGACCTTTATGTGCAGGTATTATCATACAATGGTACAGTGACGTGTGTTTTCATGGTTGATATTCAAAAAGCATATGGCACTGTGGATTGGACCATTTTGAGAACTATATTGCAGCAATTTGAGCTTTCACCAGAAAATCATGGCCCGGATTATGGAATGTGACGCAACAGCTTCCAGTTCTACCTCCATAAATAATATGATCCCACGGCTTCATCAAGCGACACTGAGGGTTAAGCTAAGGTGATCTTCTCTCCCCCAATTTATTCATGTTGGTCATGGAGGTTCTCAACTAGGTATTTAAGATATGAATTGGGGAAGGACTGAATGGGGAGGGAAGCACTTTACATTCCACAAGCAGTATGAGGCTCAACACATAACCCACTTATGTTTGGCAGATGACACTCATCATGTTTTGTCACAGGGATGTCTCATTGTGTTGATTATAAAGGCTACCCTTGATGAGCTCAGGAACATCACAGGTTTGGGCCCTAGCATTCCAAAGAGTACCGCGTTCTTTTGCAATGTCAGCTAGCCTGTAAAGAGTGCAAGTCTCCAGATTCTCCCCTTCATTGGGGATACTCTAGTAGTCAATTATCTTGGGGTGCCCTTTATCTCAACTCGCCTAACGCATTGGGATGTATGATCCTTGTTGAGAAAGTGAATAACAGCATCAGAAACTGGAAAAGTAAATCCCTCTCATTTATTGGCCCAACTTCAACTCATTAATACCATCCCATCATCCATGCAAGTGTATTAGGCATAGCTTTTTAGCCTACCAGTTTCTATCACCAAGGATATAGAAAGACTCACCCGGATTATAGTGCCAAGGTTGAAGCCAGGACGGCAAAAGGTGCATGGAAGGCGATTTGTTACGTCATTACATGATGGAATACTTCTTGCTCTCGAGATATGCTTGGAGCATTGTGACGAAAAAGAGTCTCTTTGCATTCACTGGATACATACTTAATGCCATTAAAGGGCAAACCTTCTAGGATGCCCCTATCCCAAAGCACACCACTTGAGGTTGGAGAAAATTAATACGAGTGAATACATCCAAAATTGTGTGGTCCACAAAGTGGGGAATGGAGCATCCACATTGGCATGGTTCGACTATTGACATCCTACTTGCCGGTTATGTATTGTCTTATCAAAACAGAATATATATATATATATATATATATATATATAAAGCCAGGATCAGAATTGATTAGTTCTGGGGAGTGGAAGTGGACCTAAGGTTGGTTGGATACACACGAAGCTGTGGGAGATGTTGTGGTGCCTAACCTCATACATGGTTCCCGGCATGTGTCTTTTGGAAGAACTCCTGAGGGCAGCTGGTTCCTTTCTCGGTTACTGAAGTGTGTCAACAACCTTTGTAGTTTAGACAAAGCATCTCGCATCACTCGTATATTTTATGGCTTGCTCTAGGAGGACGGCTCACTGCACAAGACAACATTCTCAATTGGAAGCAAGATCTGCCTGACCTGGTATGTCCTTTGTGTAAGTTACAACCTGACTCATGCCCCCACCTATTTTTCTATGCCCTTCTTCTAGTTAGGCGTGGTGTATGCTAAAGGTCCAGATTAGTGTGGATGAAACGTCAGCGGATTGGACGGACATATTCAAGTCTTATCAAGTCATAAAACAGGATGCAAGTATTCCACAAAGGTTGGTGTCAGCCACAACAGTGTACTTTGTATGGCAGCAGTGCAACTACAGCATCTTTAAAGGTGTGACTGTAAGGTTGACGAACAGGAGAAGGAAATTCGGAAGGCAATTCAAATGCGACCACTAAGGCTGAAATTCAAGTGTACACCTATGGTCAAGAAGGTTCTAAAGTCTTGGCATATACCCTCAAAGGATGATTGCTACTGCTCAAACCTGGATGGAATCCCGTCTACGTGTCTTGAAAATGGATTGTTGGGTTTGTTGGTTGCACACCATAGAAATTTATCCTAGTTATATGTTTTGCTTGTATCTTATTAATGTTTGTTTGGTTACTAGATAAATGGTTTGGAGGTTGTTGCCAATCACCAGTGGTAAGTTTGTGTAGTGCACTCCACTCCACCTTGACCTTAGGGCCTGTCCTGATGGCTGAGGGACATGCTTGTTGGCCTGAGTCCCACCTTAGTTTGTATCACAGTTTTTTATTTAAAAATATTTCTAGAGTTTCCGCGTTCCTTCCAAGTAACTGGATCATTGGTGGAGCCACAGTTCAAACCAAAACTTAGTCTCCTATTCCTAATCTTCAAACCAAACCAACTTGCATTTGATTTTCCTTTTTGAAATGTTTCTATATTCATTGTTGTTGGCATAATCCTAATTTAGGCAGTGAGTTTCTTCTCATGGTTCTAGGGATTAAATTTAAATTTCTTGATTGTTAGCTTTTCTGATAAATAAGGCCATATTAATCTATGACAAGCAAGGATCCACTGTGAGCCAATTTAAGATCAGTTTCAGTTGTTGAAATTATTATCAGCAACAAGCTTGCCCAAAACAGTTCAAAGTATCACATATATTCTTTTCATATACTAGAGCAGCATGAGAAAGACAACTGGTCTTGCACATGTGGCACTTATACAGGAAATCAAGGTAAAAACATGTGACAAACCTTAGCTGTCACAACTTTGTAACTATACAATTTAGATTCTCAAACGTAATAAATAAATAAAAACTTGGCTCTGTTTAAGTGACAATCAGTTCCAGAAGTCATATTGCTCAAGTAAACCTAAAGAAGCAAAGCATTCACTTTGTGATGCTCAAGATCCTATTATTTTTGTTATCAAAGTTCCCTTTGTGCTAAAAGTTATCGCAAAATGTTCATAGAACCCTTTACACAGAAATAAATAGGGCCAGTGAGAAACCATAGAGAACTATTAGCAACAAAAGAAGCCAAATAACACAACAGAAGTTTAAAACTCATCCATTAAAATTTGACAATATTAACTTTAAAGGAACCATGGATGAAGTAAACTTTGTTATGAACTTGATTGAGCAAATAAGCTTCCAGATCTCATGATCTAGATTTTTTTTAAATAAATTAATACAAAAAATTAAGGACCTCAACTTGAAAATAAAGTACATAGGTTTTCTGCACAATTCAGATCCATGATCCAGGGTTTAATATATAAATTCAGATCAGATAACTCCGCAACCAGTGGTATATGTTACCTTCCACGATTAGAAGAGGAACTTGATCTTAAGGAGTTAAATGACGGTACTCCCAGACCATCCAACAACACTTCAAGTCCCCCAATGCTCCGAAAATGGTTTTGACCACGTGAATTATCAGTTAGTGCCAACTGAAGAGTTCTTAAAGTTAGATACTGAAGGGATGAATTCGTCCATTGTTCTTTCAAGCTTAACCTTCTAATAACACGCAGCAGCTCTGAAAACACATCCAAAGATTAGCTCCCTCAAATAGAAAGCCTACTTCAAAAAGCAAAAAGGATTCCTGTCTAAGTTTAGAGTCAGGAAATTCTCGTCAGTATCTTTTAGTATACTCTTTCAACCAGGATAAGCATCCATTTAGCACATTAATTGAGCCATGACTACATGGTCAGGCAAGTTCTTTTAGGATTTTCTACTTTTCTTCTTCAAATAGGGATAACTGCCTAACTTTTTAGAGCATCAACTATCAAAGCGTGCACTCGGTACTTTAGTAAGTTAAGATAGCATATCGTTGTAATTTTGTTAAGAAAATTTATTAGTGCAGATCTAGCTATTATAAGAGTTTGTCAACCAGGCACTAAGAAAAGTGAACATGTATGTGATATAGAAGACATGAGTTACAGTTAATATCCAAATTTGTTAGTCAAAAGAAACAAACTGCAACATGCAATGGGAGGATGCATTAAATACAGCAGAGGTGAGTAGTCACATACAAAACACATGCCAATTTCAAGTTCTTGATAGCATTAGGAATACATTGATGGTAGTTTAATGGGTCACAAGTAACTAGATAACCAATAAAAGTATCAACTATTAGAATCTTTCGATCCTAGAAACAGCAATCCTTCTAGTATCTGGTAGATGTCCTAGGTGGTGGACACACAAAATTTAAGCAGAAACAACTGATAACACTTCGTAAAAGAGTGAATATTAATGACAACTCATAATTGGCCAAAGTTTGAACCATAATCTCTCTTTTAAACGAAGCAAAATGGTGAAATCTATTTGTGGTGAAGAGAAGAGGATGCTCCCTGATCAAGGATGCATCTAAAAATGGGCCAAATGATGAGCACCTAATTTTTAGAATACAACATTCGTGGATGACTTTGATAAAAAGTGGAAGGCACTTAATCAGAGAACAGAAGAGGTGCTTTTTCTTTGAAGGGAAAAAGAGTTTGGATCTAGATGTCTACTCAACTGAAGCTATAGCCAGGTACTACCCCAGAAGATCACATCCCCTCATGGAGTCTTTGGTCCATGGAAAGCATTAAACCAAAGAGAACATGGAAGTGAATACCAACCCAAAAGATTAACAATAAAAATAATGTAATGTTTGGTTTTGCCGTGATCAACAGCATATATAATTTATCTCAACTCAAATATTCAACTATTTTAGTTCTTAACATACTAACCAGTCAAGAAAGTATATCTGAAGATGCATACCTTACCTACTAACCAATTAAGACCACCAGCTTCCATCACTGATATGACTGCCTTCTGATGCCACTGCACTCTTTTTTCAGAAAGAGGATCCCTTGAATCGATGAAAGGTTCTGGAGTTGTGGCAATCCTTTCAACACCGGCCTCTAAGTTGTCAATGTCTATCTGAGCCTTTCCATATACATCTAATCGTAAATTGATAAAGCTGCATACAATTGAAACCACATGTACAAGTATTTTTTGTAAAAGACCAGCCTTTTCTACATTTGAACTTGATAAAGTTTCATCAGCTGAAAGAGCGCCAACAATGGTTTTCAATTGGACAACAGCTCCTGAAACATATATTGCAATGTTAAATGCTAGAAAGGAACAACAAAGAAAGATGGAAGTTTGGTGCAAGATCACCACATAGAAGTTATTAAGAAAAGAACACAAGGACATATACAATCTTGCAGCTAAGCACATAAGAGCAAGTTGTGAAATTACTGTCCAACAAGACTGTCAAAACGAGGAAGGAGAAACAATTATAACATCATTACCTCTTTCTGAATGAAATAAAATTTTGGTGTACATTAATACAAGAAGCAAATGCATGATAGGCACACAAGCAGTAAGCAACAACTAACAAAGAAAGATAATATGCATTTATGTTGATTTTTTATTGAAAATAAAACCCCACCACTCGTCCAAATTACAAAACTTGAGGAAAACAAAAAAGGAATTCAATGAGATGAAAGTAGGGTTATAAACGAGTTATTAATGACTAGTGCTACTACTTATTGATTCTGACCATTGATGTTCACTCTTTCAAATCCATCACCATCTCCAAAATGTTTCAGTCTGCAAGTCACCAACATCACTTACTATTTGTAACTGCTATAAAGTTTAAGGACGTGACAAAAAGAGAAAGTTCTTGGAACTTTTGAGTTTTATGGTTCTAACTTCTAAGATAAATGACATCAAACTTTGTTTGCCCAATGAAGTATTTTCTGTGCGCACATCAGTTAGAATATATTTTTTGTTACAAACAACTCACTGTTCAATAAACTATCGACTATGACTATGCAAATTAGATAATCTAATTGGTTGCAAAATTGACCTAAGATTTTTGCTCCAAATATTCAGCCACCTTACAGGTCAATCCTCACCCAAAATATTTAATTTGAATAGAACACTTGATGTTAGATGGTATAAGTAGAAAACCAATAAAAAAAAAGTGTCATTAAAATTACAACTTCAGATTGGGGTTACAACTTAAAACATTACTGGGTTGGATTAGGACATTAGGCTACCACTGGAACTTACATTATATGGGAAAGGAAGAAGATACAGAGACTATGAAGCAGCTAGGTTCCGAAGAAATTTATCCTCATAGGAGAAGCATGGTTGAATGCAAAGAAGCTAAAAAGGACACCTTTTTGTAGTTCAAGCTATACCAGTTATACTGATATGTTATATCAGTCCTACAGTCGGGCTTGTGAATCATCAAGTGTTTGGATACTTTTTGTTTGTAAAACTAGATACAGGCACGCAAGTTCCTCTCTTTTGGCTTTCACATGCAATTGTTTAAGGGTGATATATGCACCATAAATTCCACCCACAAACCTTTTACCATAAACTGGAATAAGACATAACCTCACCCTGTAAGAAAAGGTGGCTCATCATTAGAAAAACTATGCGGCTCCTGGATGTCACCTTTCAACTTCATTTGTTATCAGAATGGTCATCGTCACTGTGTCCAGTATCCAGCCATATATTTCAGAAGTCAAGGTTGCAATTTATAGCATATAGCTTCTTAGAATCAGTTCATTTGGAAAAGGATAAAAATATAGCAAGTTAAAAAGAAAGACCAGTCAAAAACTACAAACATATTGTAGGCTACAAAGAATCCACTAAGAAGGGCAAAGAGCACAACTCAGATGAGATTTATGTATAAGTCAACTGAAATTACCAAGCAGTCCCCACCTCTTTAAAGTTTGAACTAAAGGCAAAACTAACACACATAAAAGCCCAATTAAAGCAAATATAAGAACAACCAAATTATAACTACGATTCTTCTCAACCCCCACCCCCACCCCCACCCCTAAACAGTGATAATAGTAACATTTATTACAACGATCAACAAGAAGAAGCAAATGACGAAAGAAAACAAAAGGCACTATAGGGAAGAAATGGACACTGACGGAAATTTAATGGAAGAAATGAGAGCAACATAATTATAGCAAAAAGACACAAACACAATATCTCCTAGAGCGAATTAGGCTGTTTCTAGATAACCGCACTGGCAAATTACAGATTACACGGCAATCCGAGCAACGAAAACTAAGAAGTAATTTACTCAAAGAGCTAAAAGTTAAGGGAGATTATTAGCTGTTGTTAAACGAATCAAAGACACTCATTCCTGAGTGAATCTGGCATACCACAATTATTGATTAAACACAGGAAAACAGGCACAAATAATCAGACAAAAGACAAGTAAAATAACATAACAAATTAATATAATACCTTTCATTAGTGCTGTCAGCTTTTGAATACCACCATAATAGCCCAAAACTTTACAATTATGCATTGACCGGGTCATGATAATCAAGGCTTTCAAGACAGGAAAACTTTCTGATGTGATGATCAAGCTACTGGAAGTCCCTGATATGTCTGTCGATGATGGCAAATCATTTATGTTTATTGATGTAATGTAATGCAGGATATATATATATATATATATAAAGCACACAGATGAGAAATATCCATAAACTTAAATGAGTTCCTAAGAGTACACATCTATTTAAGTTAGAGCAAGGACTTGGTTAAACAGTAGCTTCAACTTATACTGATTACATAGATGACTATGATGAGTAATAGAAAGATACAACACATGGAATGATATTATTCCATATCAAATTAAAATGGAGGTGAATATGATTCTCTCTTTTTGCACCTTCACATCACCTTCACATTTGTTCTCAGTCGTTATGAGATATGCATCTACATAACAATGAATACATATGATCTAATAATGCTTTACTCATAAAGAACCCTCAAGCACCAAGGATAGTACCTAACAATAAGCAAATTCATGATGGCCGTGTTTAAGCCTACCAGCACTAGGACATGGAGGAACTACCATGAGAGTCTGATAAGAAACTAGATACCTAATAGTGGACAACATAACAGAATGTGAATAACAAGGCATGAGACCTTGAAAGGTGAAATGCACCGGTACCCTTTTTCTGACTCCATAGACAAGAATGAAACTGAAACTTTTAATTATTAGAGTTATCCGCAGGTAATTTAGTTTTTGTCTTAGTTTTTGCAGCAAGTTATGTATTGAATTTCAGTGTCTTGAATATGTCAGTAGTATTTAACAAGGATAATGAGTTGAATTGAGTTGTTTTTTGGAATAAAATTTGTGCTGAATTTAATAATCTGTGCAGGAAGCAGAAGATGTTGGTTAAATGCTGTAGCATATACTACTGACCTGGCAACAATATACTAGTGTTTCCAACTGAAGAAAACACATCAAATAAAGGGCAAAAAAGTAATTAGCATAAAATATTCTTTTCAGCTGATTACTCTAATCCCTATGCTGATTTTGAAACATCCATATAAGAAAGAAAGATGCAGAAAAGGGGGACTTTCTCTTGGAAAGGAGGCAAAAAAATGTGAGAAAGGAAAAAAGAGAGCAGCACGTTGAGAAGGAGAAGAGGAACAAAAATACACAGGAGCAGGGAGATTGCAGAAGAAGAAGAAGAAAAGGATCCTCACTGGAGTAAAAGGAACCTAAACTTCACTAGGTTTTTTCTCTCAATCTTCTGTTCTAGAATGTTTGCAATAATGTTGAGCTGAATTGTAATAGAGATATTTTTATATCTTTCACTTGAACTAAAGCTTTTGTTAGCCAGGATGCTAGTCAATCAAAAGTTGGCAATGACAAGGGAATGCTTATGAATATCAACACCCAGGTCATGTTTTGTACAATCATGAGTGTTTAAGGTTCGTTTATGTTTTTGATTGACCATCTCTAATAGAATACCATATTTAATTTAATACTAGAAAGGTTAAATTGAGTTGCAAACTTCATGGTTGATGCATGATTATAAGCTTGTTTATTGATTGAGTGGGCCATTGCAATAAACTTCTGCTGTGCAAGAAATATAAAATTGTGATAAGTTGTGGAAGTGCTACGGGTAATATATGAAAACAGACATATGATAGCAAAGGCTACAGACAGTATGAAAGTGACCATAAAGGAGAAAACCTGCTGAAAAAAAAAGAATGTGTCTCCTTTGTCCCCATTAGCATCAGCAGTTGCAGGACTTGTATTAAAATTAAATTGAGTATGAATAACTGTTTAACATAGGCTATATAAAGTTCATCCAGGAAACGAGTATGAAAAGGCTTCCATCATAAAGAGGATCATAATATTTCGGTCACTAAGGAACCAAAATGCTACAGGAGCCAATTAAAAGATGAACCTAGCCCACTGTACTTATCCAGAGGTTCCTGCACCAGTTAGTTTTTCTATTTGAACACCCTTTACACAAAGTCTTTTTCGTGTTTAATCCAACAATTCTAATCTTTCCATAAAGCACTAGTCAATGGAACACACAAAGAGCACTCCAGAAAACCTACAACAACCAAAAGGATAACTATTCTCAAACAAATTTGAAAATCCTCATGGAGATCAAAGATTCTAATTACAATAAGAGAAGGTACTTTTGAGAAATCCTTCCACCAAAGTATCAAAAAATTGTTAGCAGCATAGTGAATATCAGCTCAAATAGTAGCATATCGGATACAAAATTTTAATTCGTAAGAATATATTCCCACAGAGATAAAGAAAATTAGCACGTTAACTTACATTCAGTCACCATGGTTGTTATGTGTGTAACTTCTTCTATTAAGATCACTATGATTTCAGCAGGATGTGCAGCAGAGCAGCCAATTATAACCTCATCATGACGTTGAGGATTATCCCCAGATAAAGCAACCTCAGAGGAACAATCTGAAGCAAATGGCTCCCAGTTCTTGTATATTACTAAGAATTGTTTAAGAAATATATGAAAAGCCTTTTGTCTTTCTGCCTGGAATTTGAGACAAGAAGCTAACGTTAGGTGTTGTATGACAAAGTTCAATTTTAATTGCTAAATGGTCTATGTAGTGATATCACCGTAGCTGTTTCTGTAAGGCATGAATATGATTTTACGAACACTTCCTTTACATAGAAATATTGATCACAAACAGAATCGAAGGTGTATTATCTTCACTGATATGGTCATTTTAATTTTAACTGATATGCTACAAAAAGAAACACACACCATTCAGAAGATTCATAAAGAAGAAGATATCTGCAGAAAGATGGCCTTTTATAGTATCAACGCACAGCAGTAAAATCTTGTCAAAATATTTTCATATCACGTTTTCAGTATCATACTACCAAGAAAAGTGAATATCAATGACCACTGAACAACAAAGATTTTCCCAGACATACCTTATCAGATGAACTTTCATATCTCTCCCATAGTGTAGATAAAATCGCCTCGTCACCAACATCACTGAAAATAATGCAAAACTGGAAGCATTGAAAAACTTTGCTTGTACTCGAATTTAAAAACCAAACAAATTAGAAAGCATTCCTACCCAAGAGCCTATATTTCTTTAGTTTATGGAAACTGTGGAAGCAAAAAAGCAACTAAAGTTAATACAATACAAAGGCAGGCCAACTGCTCCACAATGCAACCGTTGTTTTGTCATTTGATAGAGATTGAGCTTCCCTATCTGATTGAACTTCTTGTTGTCACCTTCATTACCAACAACAATTTATGCAACTAGCAAGCAATGCCCCACAGAACTTTTCTGCAAAGAAGGCCGCATTGAAGAAGATGACAGTATGATACAATGGCACCTCTAAAATGTGCCTCATCTGGACAGTGTAAGGCACATTGATGTTGATCTTCAACTTAATTACACCTTAAAATTAGATGACCATTATTTGGTAGTTTCTTTGTAAGCTATAAAAATCAAAGGAAAAAATTTTGTTTATTTAATTTTCATGAGGAGGGACAAGGCAGAACGAAAAAACATCTGTTGGTATATACCAGTCATCTTTCCCTACCTGCGTTAGCTGGTACAGAAATGAAGCATGTCCAATATGACATTATATGTGTATGATTCCCGGTTGTAATTGGAGAGAATTTGATTATACTCCCTCCGTTCCAAAATAAGCGTCCACATTTCTATTTAAGTTTGTCCCAAAATAAGTGACCATTTTCAAAAATAGTTGGTTATAATTTACTAAATTTCCAACTCTACTTAATAATGACGCACGAATATTTAAGAGTTGATGAGAAAGAGAGAGTGAGAGAAAAGGTTTATCATTAAGGGTAAAATTGTGATTCAATTAATTAAAAAGTGTAATTATTACACAATTCTTAAACTGTGTGTTTCTTTATTGTGGACATGTATTTTGGGATGAAGGGAGTACAAATAAACACAAGGTGTGTTCTTGGATATATATATCCCAACGGAAGGATGACCACGAGGCTCCTTTTAAGTTCCTAAGTGTGTTTCTCCTTGTTAGAATAGCTGGTTGACTTAGGTACAGTATAAGTGACCCAAATTTCAGATACAAGGCTGTGTTTTTTGGACTATTTTATGGCAACATAGGACCCTTTACATATCACTCCTTTTGGCATTTCACAGCTTTCCTTGAGCCTAGCGACTCAGTAACAGTCTGTATGTGGTTGGCTTACATCCCTTTCTGGTCTTCTTTTTACAAATACTATCTCTTATGGGCACTGGGAAATCAAAATGAAATAAACACCTTTTGTTTGTCTCCCAGTCAACATGATATGTTTAATATATTACTATAACATTATCGCCAATAAGATTTTAGAAGTTCTGAAGAAAATATCTCACCATTTTCTAGTAGCTATCGCAACCGCACGACCATCCTTTCTATTGCTTGCCCTTTCTTTCACTCTCAAGACAAGGCTCAGGAGCTTTTGCTCATAGAGATATATTTTTTATTAGGGATTAAAATCATGTAATAGAAGTCTTAACCTCCCTTACTTTGTGGGTGCATTGACCAAAGACTGAATCTCCTATGAACTTGAATATGTGTAACCTCTTTTATATGAAAATGATTGCTTGCCCAAGCACTCCTATCCCCACAAAACAAACTCATATTCAAACCAAACAAAGGTTTATAAACAAACAAATATCAATTTCAAGTATTGAGGAAACATGCCTATCAGTCTATGCTTCAAAACATTTGATCATTTATAGAAGCCAACCACATATCAATGTAATTTTTTTTTAATTAACCTGGATATCCAACTCGCTATGCGAGCCGACTAATCCCAGGGCGACCACCTGCTTTGCAGATAGCCAGGAGTCACCGCATTTGAACCTCCGTGGCCACAAGGGGATTTTTATTCCTCCTTGGATTTGAACCTGGGACCTCCTGGTACTTTGGACCTTTAGAGTCAAGCTCAAACCAATCAAGCATCACCCTTGTGGTTCATATCAATGTAAATTTTAAGGAAGTGCATCTGGATAATTTGTATGTTCGAATAAACGTTGTATATAGTAAATGATAAAAAAGCAAGTTGTTGTTTATTTGGTGTGTTGAATGATAGCAATTATCATTTTAACCCTTTGTTCTTATTAACTGTTGAATAGAAAAGGAGCTTGATAAATTTTCTGAATGACAAAAAAGTATCAATTTAAGAATTATTTAAATAAAAAAAAATACTTGATCTAACATAATGATATAAATTCAATGACATTATCAAATCATTAGTAACTTAATTTAAAAGTCTAAAACAATTGACATAATAGGTTCAATGTTCAACCATATAAAGGTTAATAAACAACTAAAGATTACATTATAATCACAAAGACAACAAAAGAACGATCTACAAGGACAGGACGATTTATGTGGTCTCAACTTTGACGATTTTGTGACCTGATCTTGTTCTGTCATGGGGATATAACTTCAGCAACCATATTAGAATGCCTTGAGGAATTCACGAATGTATCCAGCCTTGGCCCAGCTTGCCAAAGAGTACAGAATTCTTCTATGAAGTCCATTCAATTGTTAAAATTGCCATTACTCGTATCCTTCTTTTTCTTGAGGGTAGATTAAGATTACCGATTAGGTACCTTAGGGTGCCCCTAATTTCTACTGGATTTGTCTCGTCGGGATTGTAATATTCTAGTTCAACATGTGGAGAGTATAGGCAATTTGAAGAATCGATCACTTCCAATTGTCTAACGCCTCCAACTCATATCATCAGTGCTCTCATCCATGCATGTCTATCGGGCATAGTTGTTTCATCTTGCGGCAAGTTCAATCAAATAAATCAAGAAAATCTTATGTGGGTTCCTATGATGTCAAGATGACATGAAACAGTGTTGTGCTAAAGTCTCGTGGGGCGTGGTTTATTTACCGATGGAGCATGGTGGTTGGGCCTAAGAAACCTAACTACATGGAATTTTTCCCTTTAAACCACTCATATCTGGAGTATTTTAACGAAGGAGTCCCTATGGGTTTGCCGGGTTTAAACGTATAAATTATTTTTTGAAGTATATAAAATCATATATAAGGCAAATGCAACAAATAAACTCACACACCATCCTCACCTTTGGTGAGGTTTAAACCCCTCCTTACCCTATGGGTTTGTTGGATTCACACGTCTAGATTACTTGGAAGAAACTTCTAACACCTCGACAGCAAGTGTCCTTCATGGAGCTGGTGTGAACTCCTCATGTTGTGCAATGCGATTTATACTTTTATCATCCATAAAGTAGAAAATAGAAACGCAACATCAACCTGGTTTGATAATTGGAACATGTAAAGATGAAGGCAAAGATTGGGCCAATTGCAGCCTACTAGTACGACATTGACACGTGATTTCCCTTTGGTGATGCTGAGTTGTGTTGCCTTATTTTTTTTGGTTTGTTTTGTATTATTGTACAGGTTGTTTGCTTATTTCTAGTTGATAGCTTGTTGGCTGGTTAGTATCATGGTCTGGTTCTGTTACACTGTGGTCTCGACCTAAGGTTGAGTGGACATGCTTGTTGATGGGAGCCCCACCTTAGGTTGTATTTTTATTTTTATTTTAATTAAAACATTTGCTGGAGGTTCCTTCCTACTTTCAAAACAATTATTTTAATGGGATTAGAGAGATTTGAGGTATTGAGGGAAGAAAACAATTACGAGCAGGCCATTGGGTGCACAATCAGTCAGTGTTGCTTGTTCAGGGTCATTGGCAGTACGATCATCAAATAGTGGGACTTTACAACAAATTCAACAACAGTTTCAAAATGGAAATGTGGGATTCCAGCAATAAATGAATCAACCAACACCACAAAGTTCCTTCCAAGATGTTTCTTGAAGAAGAGAAGAATAAATGCCTCAACGAGCACCTGTCAGCAGAAGCAACAGTGGGCAGCAGCAGCTGATAGCAGCTCCTTAATGCATGTCACTTAATTTCACTAAACATAGAAGGCAATAAATTTCATTGTTGAAAAGTGTTTTATCATCTCATTTAAACAGATGAAAGTCGTCATGTGGCACTCTCACCATACCAAATACTTTCTCCAATTTGAGAGGGAAAAGAACATGTATGAATATAATATTTTCACAAAATGATGCTGATTATTATCAAGACAACCTCCAAAATTCTGGATATAGGATAAAAATGGGTAACAGGTATGTACATTTTGTCACTGTCTTGACATTGAACTAAATAAGCTGGGGTTTGGATTATACTGGTACAGACTATACACCAACGATTCTCCCAGGCAGACTCAAGCAACTCCATTCTCCTATTGTTGATTATACTTCCATTTCCTTTAGCCTGAACTGGAAGTAAGGTATCGTATTGAGCTTTGTTTCATCTGGGATCTAAAACATCCTATCCAGTAGACCAACAACCCTGAACATATAACTATAGATACTGGTTTCCACAATGATAAATTTATTACTAACTCAACAGTGTGCTTAGTAGAAAGCAGTTCACATGATCATTTACAAGCAACACAGGAGTTGATGACATAACTCCTGCATAAGATTAGTATTACTACCATATCATATGCTCCTAACAGAACATTCAACTCTTAAAGATCATGTGGAATCATACAAACAATACACATAATGTTTAGCATGATAATACCTAACTACTGTCTTGAGTTCAACATTCATTAATAGATAAAAAGTACCTGAATTTATATTTTGGAACCGGAACAGGGAACCTGTGAGACGGTGACCCTGCACCATACTCACCACTGTAGCCGGATGTTCTCCGAATAAGACCAGCAACACCTTTTACGATGTTCATTCTTCAACCGCCAATATCATACACAATCAAGACTTATACCCATCAAACTTCAAAACAATAAAATATAGATTAAAACAAAACAAAAAAACTAATTTAATTCAACATAAGTGATCAGTACCTCTTGGAACAAAAAGGCATGGAACAGAATTAAATAAACTCCTTTAACAGTAACTAATCCTAGCATACACACAATGCTTAAGCATTGCTTTGTTTTTCTTGGTTCATTACTCTCAAGTATGTTGTTACATTATGTGTTAATCATAGTTCGCGATTAACCAGAGAAGCAACCTAATGTCATGAGTCATGGAAATGAACTTGTTGGGCACATTTGAACTACCAAACATATAAACACACAATCTTAACACTGCTGTTGCTCTCACTGAATCTATAGATAGTTGGTTGACTGCTATAGAAAATTATGTAACATATTGATCATGGTAGATTGGTAGCCAGCTTACTTGCAAAGGGCATTATACTATCAACTCGCAACAATATTGGAAATTTATTAGCATTACTAAAACGTCGAATGAACTAGGATGAGAACATTAAACTAGCAATATGTGTGTCCACACATGCACGTATACAGACAGTTTCAGCATAACCTTTCTTTGGCTAAATATATGATTCTTGTTACTTAATCCGCATAAAAAGAAAAAGCCCAAGAAGGAGGAAAAGAACTCAGCTAAAAACATTGAACAAGCAAAAGCAATTGTATCCGAACAGACACAATGTTGGCTTATATTTCCTTCGGAAATTTTGATGATTAGCTAGCTATCTACTCCAATGTTTAGCTGCCGGCTACGATGGACAATCAAAATAGCAGATAGAAAGAATCATGCTTTTTAATTGTCAAAGACATCCATCGAAGTACCTTATTCGCCGAAACTTCGATGACGACAAACCAGCCTTCCGATTGCGGATCATCGCTTAAAGAGCGAAACCATCGAGAAACTGAATTTGGTAGACAAAATTTGTCTTCTTTGGAGACGTTCAATAGATCTACAGTCTTCTTCTGTAATCTGATGTTGATTTCTTCCTTCACCAAGATAATCAATTCGTCTGGTTCATCAAAAATCAAAAACTCAGTGAGAAATTTGTCGAGAAGGGGAAAGGGATCGAGCGTGGAGGTTGAAGATGATCGAGATTACAGCGTGTTTAAGAAGCACCTTTGGTTTTTACTGTTTATTCATTAATGAATACCCTTTTTATGATGATTATTTTTTTTTTATTAACATAGATATTTAACTATTCAGCCGATCATCTGTTTTATAGAGAGTCTGGAGTAATAGCATTTGAACCTACATGGCCATAAGAAGATTTTTATTTCTCTTGGATTTGAACCTGATACCTCCAGTTACTTTTGACATTTGGAGTCAAACTCAAACCAATCAGGCACCGATCTTATGGTTTATGATGACTAGAAGAGTACTTGCGCAATGCAGCGAAACATATCTCGATTTTAATGTTCTATTTTATTATTTATCTCTGTCGATGTTATAATACGATTTTATATGTTTTTAAGAACGCAATAATGATTTTATTTTTAATAAAATATAAATTTGAAAATATCATAAAAATTTGAAAAAAAAATATATCAATGTTTATACCAAATCAACTATTTAAAACTTTTAATTTTTTATGTAATTTCTTTAATTTACTTTTTTATT